CCCATGTCCCCACCGCAGGCTCCCCACCTTCCTCTCAACCCCACCCCCACCCCCTCCCTCCCAAAACACCCGTCCCCCATCACAGGTGAAGCACCTGTTCCCACGCGCCATCGACCTGCCGCGCAACACCGTCAAGCTGAGCCACAGGGGGGAGCTGTTTGAGGTGGCCACCTTCAGGGGCCGCAGCAGGGCAGACGGCCTCGCCAGCGTGGCACTCGACGCGGGTGGGTGTGCACGCGCGCGCGTGTGTCTGGGAGTGCGGTGGTGTGGCTGGAGCGGGCGGACCCGGGTTGCTGCGGGGCCGCGGCAAGGGCGCGGCCACGGGGGCGTCCCCTGCGCCTTCAGGAATGGCGATTTGGACCATGTCAAATCTCAACTTGTACCTGGAGGCTCACTTGCAAGACATGCACACGCGCGCACGCACAGGGACGCACATGCACACTCAGATGCACGCGCGCACATACGTGCGCTCATCGCGCTTGTTGATCACTTCCTGTCCCCACCAGCAAGTGGTCGCCATCGGCTTCCCCCCGACCCTCTATTCATACCCCGGCACCAACAGTGCGCGTCCCGATTGCCAGGGCCCTGCTTTGAGCATACCACAATTGATACCCCACCGCAAACGCACACCCTCCCTCACCTCCCCACATGCATCCACCCCACCCGCGCCCAAATTCCCGTGCGCATACCCCACCCTCAGCCGCCCGCGACTTCACCGTCAATGCGCTCTATTACTGCCCCCGCGTGGGCGTGGTGCTCGACTTTGTCGGCGGCGTGGAGGACCTGCAGCGGCGCACACTGCAGCTGTGCTGCGGCGCGTTTGGGGACAGGGTGCGCCGCCGTCGGGAGGGGGCTGGGGCGGGGGCGGGGAGGGCCGATAATTTGGCGGTCTCGAGTGCCGAGCGCGGTGTATTCGGCCCTGGGCGGGCGGCTGCAGCTGGGGTCCCCAGGCCGTGCAGTGGCGGGGCCAGGCAATGGATGGGTCGCTGCAAGGTTGGGGGTTGCGGCGAGGCTCAGCGCGTCATGGGGCTCCGCTCAGCGGCGTCCGGCGGGGCGGGTGCGGCGCGCCCCCCTTGCCTGGCTCCAAGGAGGCCCCCCAGC